AGTTAGCCTAAATGTGAAGGCCTTGGTCAGGAGGAAGCCCAGCTCGGTCATCCAGAGCCTGACCCCCAGCTGAGCCCCGCTTCCTCTTAGTGTTGTGCTTAGGGACGCTTGTGAAGTCATACGCAAATGGATTTTATAGTGGGAATCACATGCTACTGTGGTGTTTGGAATCGATAGAGGTCTCAGAGAATATCCTTAGCAAATGCCAAGGGTCGACTATAGTTTAAGTGTTTTTTTTCTACTTGGATCACAGTGCTATTCTTTTCCACTATAACTCAGTAATGTAGAAGCACATAGATGCTTCATAAATCTTCTGTGCTAGTCACTACAAAGAGCGAGTGTCAAGGCAGAAAACTGTATAAACACAGCTGGTATGCAGTAAAACTATTTACATAACTAGTATATTTATTTTGTTCTCTCATATCATACTATAATAGTACCTAGGACACAGCAAATGTTAAATGAAAGACGAGTATCATTAACTGGGACATTGAAATAATTTCTACAGACCCAAAAGAAAGTGCCACCAATATAATGGAAAACTATAAAATTATACTATGTGAAATTGATTTGGAGAGAAAAAAAGTAAATCTCTATAAAGAACGACTTTATAGTTCTCGGGGGTCTGTGTGCCAGGCAGTGTAGCTCAGCAGCGACACCTTGTGGTGAGAGACTTTTGGTTCCCAGCTGCAGAGTATCTTAGAGGAATCAGGAGGCAGAACGTGGGCACCAGCACCTAATCCATAAAGTAGGTGAAGAGTCCAATAGGTGGGAAGTATTTAACAAATGACTTGGTGCCAAGATGCTCTCCACGTATCTCAATCCCCTGGAGATCAATGAGATCCACTTAGCAGAGCTGCAGGGAAAAAAAACCAAATAGAAAATACAAAGCCAATTCGCTTCCCAACCCCAATAGTCCATAGCCACAAATACTGAGCCAATAGCATAATGACTATAAGGTGTTCTGGACTGACTCGGCCTCAGCCTCAGAACAAGAGGAGTCATCCAACTGCCTCCAGAAAGACCACCTTAGTCAGTGAGTCTCTATCTTCACATTCATTTGCCTGGTGATCATTTAGAGACCTGGTATTCCAGAAAACCATATTGTAAAATCCTGAATTCTCCCACTACCTCCTACAGTAGATTCAAGGTTCACTAGACAGAGTTAATAAACATTATGAAATGAGGATATGGGGCCAGGCATGGTGGCTCACACCTGCAATTGCAGCACTTTAGGAGGCTGAGGCAAGAGGATAGCTTGAGCCCAGGAGTTTGAGACCAGCCTGGGCAACACAGTGAGGCCTCAACTCTAAGAACAAAAAAAATTAGGATATGTACAACAATCATACATACACTCACTCAGTTTCTCGGGCTCCCAAAGTAAAACAGAATTTAGTTGGAAATGAGCAGCTGGGAGAAAAAAGTAGTCTACAGAGTAGATCTCTAAGAAAATTGCCAAGACCAGATGGAGGCCTCAAAATGGGAAGTGAACATTTCTGAAAACAGTTATTTTCCAAAGTGACTATGTAATAAAGGGCTTTGCAGGAGTGTCTTGTGTCTGTGTGTACAGAGAAAATATCTGCTTTAATCATGTTCAAGCATTTCATTCCCATGGTATATAAATGGAGGAATCGATCCTCCCCCAAAACACTTTCAATAGGTGAAAATATATTACCCCTCGCTGCCCCATGCACGTTAAAAAACTGCAGGGATAAAAATGCAAAGCATGTATTTTAATAAAAGCAGAAACATGACACAAAACCTCTACTTAGGTATTTCAGGTGATGCCCAACCAAAAGAATATACCGGAAAGGCCAAGAGTTCCAAACTTCTACTCATAGGAGAGTAACCTGGGGTCACTCTTTTTTCTCCATTGCTCAGTCCAAGAGTCCAAAGGCCCAAATCCCAAGGCCAGCATAAACTAGGAAAGGTCAAGAAGCACTGCCAAGGGCAAGCCCAAGCTACCTCGCTCCAGACTAGCTGGGCTGGGAGCCTCAGAGCAGGCAGGCACTTGCTCAAGTCCAGTCTCAGTCCTCCGTGCAGAGGAAAGGAGAGACAGAGAAGTTCTAGGAGAATGACAGAATGGCAGTCCCATTCCTCTAGAGACTAGCCACTCATACCCACATGGCCCTGTCCTATTCTTCCAAGATAGGCTGTCCATAAGACTTGGCGCTCTAAGGACCACTTTTATTTTTATCGTTGAATAAGTTACAAGACAGGAGGTAATGCTTTTCCTCCTATTAACTGAACACATACAAAACCAGAAGTAAATGACACAGAGCTTTGAGCCCCTAAGATAAAGGCACAAACAAAAGTCACACCATTAATTCCAAAGAGTATTCACCAAAAACAGTGCAAACCAGCTGAAAACCGTATGATGAAAATGCAGTGAAAGAGTATTTCTTCACTTAAAAAAAATCAGCCAGGCTCGGTGGCTCAGCCTATAATCCCAGAACTTTGGGAGGCCGAGGCAAGTGGATTGCCTGAGCCCGAAGGTTTGAGACCAGCTCGGGCAACTTGGTGAGACCTCGTCTGTACAATAAATAAAAAATTAGCCAGGTGTGGTAGCGCGTGCCTGTAATTCTGATTACTTGGAGGCTGAGGCGGAAGGATCACTGGAGTCCAGCAGGTCGACACTGGGGTGGCCGTGAATGTGCCATAGCACTCCAGCCCAGGTGACAGAGTGAGACTCCAACTCAAAAAAAAAATTCACCCAATCAGCCATGGTGGCTCAATCCTGTAATCCCATGACTTTGGGAGGCTGAAGTGAGAGGATTGCCTGAGCTCAGGAGATTGAGACCAGCCTGAGCAACATGACAAGACCTTGTCTCTACAATAAATAAAAAAATTAGCCAGGTGTGGTGGCACATGTCTGTAGTCCCAGCTACTTGGAAGGCTGAAGTGGAAGGATTGCCTGAGCCCAGTGGGTTGAGGAAGCATGCCACTGCACTCCAGCCTGGGCAACAGAATGAGATTCTGACTCAAAAAAAAAAAAAAAAAAAAAAAAAACACCCACC